TGGGCTCGTCTTAGACGAGCCTGGAGGCTCGTTTAGACGAGCCCACGAGCGGCTCGCCGAGCCGGTCGTGAATAGTGACGAGCCCACCAGCCCGCTCGGCTCATGCTCGGGCTCTTTTTTGACGAGCTCGAGCGGCTCGTGGGCGTGAACAGTACGAGCCGAGCGGGCGAGCAGACGAGCCGCTCGGCTCATTTGACACCACTACGTTCAGCCCACAATTTATACTGAGAAGAAAAGCATCAGTTAATAGCTCCTTTCAACTGATTCAATTAAGAAAATTTGAATTCAACTACAAATAGATCGAACTCAACAAGGTGGGTAAAAGATAACACTATTATATTGTAACATACATACTAATTTTATTACTGAAACAACCAGCAGAAGAAAATTGCAAACATACAAGCAAGTCCTAAACCACTTTCCATGCCTATGGGCAAGGAGGCAGTAGCTTCATTACAGAATATGCACGGCATACACTATTATTATGCTCTACGAAGCATGATTCTACATACCTCGACCACGTCCCCTACTAACATAGCCATATCCCCCATAACCCCTTCCACGATAAGAGCCTCGAAAACGACCTCCACGACCAGGTCCCCGACCTCCTCGGCCTCCTCCATACCTAGAAAACTCTCCAAAAGTCTGCATTCACCACATATAATTAGCTAAAGGCAAAAACTAGAATCTGAAGAGATCAACCAATACAATAATGGAAGTACCTCTGTATCTAGCTTCATCTGCTCTGAATATCTAGTTCTTCCATGATTTGGGTCATTGTCCAGTGCATTACAAGAAAGGGAATCGAAAAAGTTGTCCTTATTATAAACAGGCTGCAGAGGATAGAAGTATATTTTACAGTTGGTATATAATACAGACCTGTATCAAGTGAACATGTAGGTCTCAACATAGACAAATGAAAGAATCACCCTGACCTCAATCTTTGGCAATTCAGCATCATCTTCATCTTGTAAATCATCTTCGTCACTGAAGTCTCCATTCTCATCCTTCGATTGAGATTTGTTACATTTTCCCAGATGACCCCAGACCTCATCCTTTTTGAATTTCTCATTCATCGCAATGAAATCAAAATCTTCAGTGAATTTTGCCACTGGTGTTCTCTGAGAATCAAGTAGGAGCCAAACTATGGAATCATGTATGGTTGAATGATATGAAAGATGAAATTCATCACCAAAAGCTCTGAAGGATAATTGTAGAGGAAAGATCTACTAAATAGATGGTAGATATTTTGAATATTTAAAGAACTCTGATATTGTGAATTTTATGAATTTATGTGTAAAACGAAAAAGCAAGTCATTACCGCAGGTCCAGGTCCAAGTCCAGGTCCTCTTCCGCCACGCCCTCTGTAATTGTTACGCATCTGATAAGTAGCTCCACTTGGCAACTATGGACAGCAGAAAAATATGTTATTAGCATCTCACCCACATTTTACAGTTTGTTGAAGAGCCAGAAGTGAACTTACACTGGATTAACAATTTCAATCCCACCCACAGAAAAGGGTAAGAAAACAATAACTAAAGTTCCCTCAAAAATCAATTATAACGATTTTCCCTTCGAGGAAAAACATGGGAAAGCACAAGGAGAAGTTTTGAAGTTGATGCTAATAAAAAGATGACACACACATGAGCAATACAGTCCACTTGTTTTTATTTTCTAGCTAACATGAATGTGATCTCAATCAGGAACTAGAATTCATACAAATTAAACTTTCAGCTACAGCCTGCATATAAGATAATATTTTATGCACTGCAAAAATAGAAAAATTAGTGTGTTTGGAAGTGCCTTTCCAAAGCCTAAAACACTTCCTGGAGGTCAAAAGCTATTTTGTTTAAATTATTGGCTGTTAAGCTAAAATCAAAAAAGTACTATTTAGCTTAACAAAGCTGTTTTAGAGAAGCCCGAATTTTGAGCTTCTCTAGAAAAGCTCTGATCGAGCATTTATGGGAAGTTGTAATTACATTTAATGAAGCCATTTGATGATTTTTTTAGATTTACAAAATACACATTAATATACAAAATTAAATAAATATAAAGAATATATAAAAGCACATTTATGGTCATACTGCCAAACAGTCAGTTCATATCACTTTTTGGATTCACAACCAACCAGTTACAAGATTTTACTAAAAGCTCTACTCACAATAGTTGTGCCAAACGGACCTAAATCTTGTAACATATCATAAAACAACTATAAACGGCTAGGTCTAAACTTTGTGGCTATATATCCATAGATCGTATAACATCTTCAAAATTCAAGATCTAAAAACATTACAATTTACAAGCACTCTTCATCTTAATAGCATTCAATAAAAAAAAAAATTCAGGACCTTAGAAAGGCACAAATATGTGCGTGTACGTGTACATATAAGGAGAGAGGAACACCTTTTGGAATCTTGTGCTTTGGGGCAAAGGTAATATTGGTGGCGGAGTTTCAGTTGCAACTGTAACTGGTTGTAGTCGAGATGGCTTTGGTGACACTTGAACTACTTCTACATCCTTCTGAGCTGTTTGCAAATGTTGAGTTGAAGGAGCCGTAGTTGGTCCAGACTGCAGCAGCTGACCAGGGGTTATAAGTGAAGGGGTGGGTGTTTCTGCAAGAACTGATCTTGATATCCCAGAAACAGATGTCGAAGTCTGAGACATGGTCTGGTGTAGCAAGACTACTGGACCGGATATTGCACTAGGTTTGCTAGCAACCAAAGGCATTCCGGAATTGTCAGGAATTGATGAAGACAGTGGAGCCAAAGTTGACAATCTAGAACTCTGTGTTGAAGTAGGGATGGCTGAAATAGGAGCTTTGTTTGGCATTGGATTTGACATTGTTTCAGATGCCGGTGACACAGATTGCAGTGGAGGAACTGTCAAAGACAAGAGTTGAAAAAGGTAAAGAAGTAGAGCTTAAACTAACAGAAGCAGTGCTATTAAAAACCAACGAAGAAGGATATTCTGGCAACTTAGAACCTGGAAAGCTTGATGCTCCTGCCGGTAAAGATGAGTTAAAACCAGAATATGGCATCTGTTGCATGGATGGAGGCATTGACAGTCCAGGAGGAGGCTGAAGTAAGGACTGCTGGGGCAGTTGAGTGAGGCCATTCGGTGTGCCATAGAATCCCTGCCAATACATTGGCATAGCTATGCCACTTCCATTAGCATTTGGTGGAGGAGAAGGCCCCCAAGAGTTCAAGTTCCCTCCCGGTTGATATAAAGGCAGACCATTTTGGAAAGTTGACCCAGGGTGTCCCAACTGTGTAGAATGAGAACCAAGATCCGTCAAAGACCCAGAAACAGCTGTGGGCAAGCTTGTGGATGCAGTTGCTGGAAGAGGATAGTGAGACTGCATACGGAAACCTATAGGTTAATCAAATTAATTCAGCCCCTTGCATGTCAGCACTACAACAATCTTATACGACTTGCCTGAATAATGGCCGGATCACTGTTTATGGGTTGTGTACTTTGAACAGGCGGAGAAGATTTGACCTGTAGATCCTGAGGAGAGCAGAATGGAAGGGAGAATTTGAGGCTAATAGGAATAAATAAACAATACTGCCTAAACATTATTCAGAAGACAACGATCAGTAACCATGCTTCCATGTTCCATTAAGACTTTAACAGGTGGTTATGAGAAATTTTTCAAACTGAAACAGCCAATTTGTACAAGCATGGAAAAAGTCAGCGTATTATACTTTTCAATAGAATGCACATTCAGTAATTCGGCAAATTGATGGTCAGTAAGAATATAGAGAAACGAAGAATAAAAGAAAGAATGTAAGTGTATCATTTGCCCAAAAATCAATAATAATCCCGAGTTGGGGCTCCCACTTCCCATTGAAATGAGACTAAGAGCATCACCAGCTGTATGTTAATTGAAATCAAAAACAGGAAATCTCCCGACATATTATAAAAACCTCAAATTTTCAACAAAAAATAAGCAAGCATAAAGTTGCAATCAGATACCTTGATATCACTTCCTCTAAACAGTATGTACTCATAAATTTTGTCACCAAGAGGGACTTGTGGACCGTCCTTTTTTCGTCCTTCTGTTCCAAATGATCTCACTGCAACAAGATAACTCCACACCAACAGTTAGGTTGCATCTATATTTTAATGTATTAATCAAAGAGACTGCTGATGAAATTTACTCATCATACGAACAAATTCAAAGATTTTGATGACTAAGCTACCTAAGTTATTGCAAATTACTATACAGCCAACAGGTTTTCAGACATGTGTAAGTTTCCAGCAATCATCATGCTGTAGGTCATACAATTTAACTTCATTGTCTGTTGAAGTAAACCACTTGAAATGCTATCATCTCTTCTTATATGTAAGATAATGCAAGCCCAAACCCACGTAATTGAAGAAACTGAGCATGGTTTATAAATTAAAATCACAAGTATTTATCTGTATCATAAAATTTTCCACAAGAAAAATTGAACAGTTGAAATTCCTTTATCAAAGATCCGTACAGCAATATTTTTCAATTCAATTTAAAAGTTAATTATTAGCATAAATAATTGTAGGAAGCCACATATCAATTATAAATTTTCCTTATTTTATAGTTTTAAATTTATAACATAAGAAAAACAAGTAATGAAAATTAATTTTAAAAAATCCTATCTTTTCTCAGTTTCATGGCCAGAAAAATATAAAGAGATGTTTCCATAAAACAAAATAATTTGAACTGCTCCCGAAAAAACAAAAGAAGAAAATTACTAAAAGTAACAAGAAAACGCTTGTAAAAGTAATAAATTTAGTAAATAAATCAGAATTATACCAAAAACAAATATCATAACTCAAAAACTGATGGTAATTCCTATTAAACCATAATAGCGAAAAAAAAACAGCAAAAGAATTAAAACAGTGGAGAAACAATCAATCAAGCATGAAAATCAACAGAAAGAGCAACTAAAATTTAAAAAAAAAATGTTATTATTCAATCAGGATAAGGAAAATCTTAAAAATTCCACCAACAGCACAGAAAAATGAAACTCTGGGACAATCAATCAATCAAAAAGTCAACAAAAACTATAAAAACAAAATGAAAAAATAAAAATAAAAATCTTAAAGTGACAAAAAGAACAAATACTAAAAATTTATGAATTTCTTACCGTTACGGAGGCCGATGCTGGATTCTTCAGTGTTGATGTTGTAAAGAATACCTTCGTATCTTATCTCACTCTTCGAAGTCAAGCTTATCAAGCTGCCGATATACGAGTCCGCCGTTGCTCCGCCGCCAGATCTACTACTAGACGCTGTTGCTGAATTCTCCGCCGCCATTTTGGGATTCTATTCGCTACAATTCCCTATAATTATATACATATATATATATATACAGAGGAAATTGCAAAAATAGTATCCACTTTCACGTAGTTATTTGTACAAGGGTTTTGCTTTGTAAAAATATTCCAAATTTGTTCCATGTCTATCTCGATAAAATTTTGAGAAATGGTAAAGAAAGACGCCTAACATTTTACAAGGAAAATAAATGCAATCAAATGTACCTTAAAGTTTCTAAAAATCAAGGGATATTCAATTAAATTTTTCTAAAAGTTTATATAAATCATAAGATATTCAAATAAACAGTGATTTTGAAAAATTCTCTACTTACTGGACTTCTAAAGTCTTTTTGGTGAAAAACATAAATAGTAAAGAAGAAATTACAAAAAACTAGTTGTTTAAGCTTTCAAATTCAAAATTCAGGTCCAAGATTTATCTAATCAAAAATCAGGTATAAATTAAATATTTAAATAATATTATAATACTAATTTTTCAAACCCTAATTCATTTTCAATCCATATTTTTTCTCTCTCTCTCTCCATTTCTCTTGCCGCCC